GCTCGGCAGGAAGCCTGCTTCTCCCTCTGCTACTCCCCCTGCTTGTGTTCCTTCTCTCGCTGTGTCTCTCTCTTTCCAATAAATAAATAAAATCTTAAAATTTTTTTTTTAAATCACTCTAGAGAAGTACAAGATGGGATAGAAGCAAAGGCCATAGGAGGGCTGCTGCAGATAAGAGATGAGGTGATTTGGGCTGGAACAACAATTCTGAGAAATGGGTGGATCTGAAATCTAATTTATACGTGGGGCCAGAAGGACTTGTTAATAGATTGGCTATGGGATGCAAAGTAAAGTTTAGAGTCAATGTGTCTCTTTAGGTTTTTGTCCTGAGCGTGTGGGAGAGATGCCATTTACTGAGATGGGACAACAGGGGAGAGCCAGCTTTAGGGGATGGGAAATAACAGTTCTTTTCTGGACAAGTTAAGGGTGAGTCTCTGAGTAGAGACTGGGTTGGCAGTTCAGTGAGTGAGCTGGGGCTTCAGAGAAGTTGGCTGGAAGAATAAAATTTGGATGTAGTGGTATAAAATCAGCATGTAGTAGTATACTGAGAAATCCCCTCTCTACCTCTTCCCAATGCATGTTGTGCCCCTACCCCCAATTACTGCCCCTACCCCTCTTAGTTTGTGCATTCACTTAGAGTTTAGGTTGCTACCAATTTACTACAAAGCTGCATTGAATAACTACAACGTGATAGAGAGAGGTGGTTCCTAAGCTGTAGGGTTTTTTTCTCTGCTGGCCCTGATAACAGGAAAGACATAGTCTATTCCTTTTGAGAGGGGGTAAACAATATCTGATAAAAGTTGAGGCTCAAATTGCATTCCTCTTTCCTTCCCTTCGTCTGAAACATGGATACTACGGCACTCTACTTCCGGTCTAATACAATTAAATAGCTCCCCTGGCTAAAGTAGTCAGGGCTAGTCAACAATCTAATACCTATTGTTTGGAGAATAAAAATAGCTTGTGCTGTCCCAATGGAAAAAAAAAATCAGGAGATTCATAAAAGTTATTGGTGAAATGTATTTGTGGGAGGTAGTCATGTAACCTCAGAACACAACAATAAAAAACTCAGTTGAAAAATTAATGCATATTTGTCCCTTTCCCCCTTCCATGGTGTGGTCGGTTATAGCAAAATAGCTGCCTCAATATATCTCATCCCACATGCTCTTTTAATAATGTGACATTGACACTCTTCCCATTGAGTCGTGGGGCCCATGTTCCCTCTCCTTGAACTTCAGCTGACCTTTGTGACTGCCTGAACCAACAGAATACAGTGGATGCTGTCCGCTAAGGCTGGGCAACTCCCACGCCCGTAAGAGGTAATAATAGAGTAGTTCAAATCTGTTAAGTTTTGAGGTTATTCATTATGCAGCAACAAAAACAGGAACATGGTTTTGACTTTTAATCATCTTTACATTTTCTTTGGTATTCAGATTTTATAGTAATTTTGTCTGTTCTTGTGGCAAGTCACTTTAAATCCTTTGTGGAAGAGGGTTTAAGTACAATGTAATCAAATTTTTTTAAGTGCTCTTCTGGGGGCACCTGACTGGCTCAGTTGGTTAAGCGTCTGCCTTCGGCTCAGGTCATGATCTCAGGGTCCTGGGATGGAGCCCCGCATCGGGCTCCCTGCTCGGCAGGAAGCCTGCTTCTCCCTCTCCCTCTGCTGCTCCCCCTGCTTGTGCTCTTGCTGTCAAATAAATAAATAAAATCTTTAAAAAAAATAAAGTGCTCTTTTGTCTAACTTGGTGATGTAAACTCCCTGGTGTTATTCTGTAAATGATAAAGATAACTCATGAAAGCTCTATCACCACTTCTAAGGAATTTTTTTAAAAAAGAGATTAGAAGAAATTTAAAAGAGAAAAAATTGCTTTGGGTGGACCTATTCTACATTTTCTGCTCTTTCTCCCCCAAAACATATTCTTTCCCATGAAACTTTGATGGAAATAATTATGACCTCATCTATGAGGATCAAATGACTAATTCAGTCAACAAATAGTTCTTCAATCGACATTTACTGGCTATTATGTGCTAGATATTAGACCAGGTGCCAAACATACAAAGACCCAGGCCCAGTTTACAAAGGGACTTCTGGGCTCCTGATTACTTATAGTTAATAAAATGTGTATCATATGCAAGGTCATATGTCTGGGCATGTCTGGAAGTCTTTGAATGCCTTCAGTGATGGAGAAGTATTTAAAATAACAACAACAAAATAAAGCAAAACTATCAAATGATCTGGCAGGAAGTTTAAAAAGTGAATGGAAAAAATTGTACAGCAATTTACAGTAGGTTCATACATCTATGAATTTGGTCTAAGAAACAGCTAATTGGGGCACCTGCATGGCTCAGTCAGTTAAGCGGCTGACTCTTGATCTCAGCTCTTGATCTAGGGGTTGTGAGTTCAAGCCCCATGTTGGGCTCCATGCTGGGTGTGGCGCCTCCTTAAAACCAAAACAAAACAAAACAAAAACCCAGAGCTAATTTATTCTCCCCATAATCACAGAAATGAAATAATATTATTATGTTAACCTTAAAAATGAAATTACAGTTAATGTAAAAGATCATGAGATACCACATGATAATATGTCAGTTTTTTTAAGATGTTACAGTTTCTTAATGTCATTCTTTTTTTTTTAAAGATTTTATTTATTTATTTATTTGACAGAGAAAGACACAGTGACAGAGGGAACACAAGCAGGGGCAGTGGGAGAGGGAGAAGCAGGCTTCCCGCGGAGCAAGGAGCCCAAAGCGGGGCTCCATCCCAGGACCCTGGGATCATGACCTGAGCCGAAGGCAGACGCTTAACGACTGAGCCACACAGGTGCCCCGTCATTCTTAATGACATTCTTAGTCACCATTTTTTCAAGTTTTACTGTAATTAGAATTTTCAAATCTGGTTTCCTAAATTTAATCTCAATCCAAGTAGTGTCACATCCATTAACTTTTCAGGAAAGGGGCATGAAGGCAGGAACCACAGCTCTTTACCACTGTGTCTTCATCTGGCACATAGTAGGCACTCATTTAGAATTTGTTGAATTTGTGGGGCACCTGGGTGGTGCAGTTGGTTAAGCCTGGACTCCGGTTTCAGCTCAGGTTGTGATGTCAGGCTCCTGAGATCCAGCCTAGTGACAAGCCCCAAGCTCAGGGTGGAGTCGGCTTCAGACTCACTCCCTTTCCCTCTGCTCCTTTACCCCGCGCTCTCTCTCTCTAAAATAAATAAGTAAATCTAAACAACAACAACAAAACAAAGAATTTGTAAACTGGAAACATGTATTTAAGAGAACGGATTAAAGGCAGCAGTTTTCTACAACAGGTGCGTCTGAATACTTGGTACAAACAGAGCCGTGTTTGGGTGTTGCAGAGAATTACTAAAAGCATAAGACACTGTCCTTCTCTACAGATAGATGCACAGTGATACATGCACTTATAAACCTTTAAAATAAAGTATAAATATTGTAAAATTCACATTAGAAATAAAGAATTTTTGGCGCGTCGCAGCGTCTCGGGCGGCGGGAGGAGCGGCAGCGGCCCGTCAGCCCGGCTTCGCGAAAGCTCCGGGGCGCCCCCGCCCGCTCGCACCCGGCCCGCGCCCGCCCCGCCGCCGCCACGGCGCCCACGAGGATGGTCAGCTCCGCCGACAGGGCGGCGAAGGAGGAGCCCCAGAGGAGGTGGGCGAGGTTGTCAGCTAAACCTGCTCCTGCAAAAGTGGACACGACGCCAAAAAAAGGCGGCAAAAAAGGTAGGCTCCAAACTGAGGGAGACCGCAGTGTCTGGGAACTGCTGCAGCGCTACTCGACAGGTGACTTTTTTCCTAATGAAAAGCCATCCCCAGAGACTCTAAGGTCTTGTGACGCTGTCAGTGACTAAGATCGTGACTGTGAAAGTCTCAGTCAGATGTCATACTTGACTGAAACGTAGAAATCTTCTATTTTCCTATTTACATTTTATAATAATAGCAGCGACCGATTTTTGTTTTCTGGCCTGGGTAAAAAAAAAAAGATATGGTCATACTGGTTTTTTACCGGAATATAACGTGCCACATTCATTGTGCTGCAGAATGTGAAAGACTTAAGAAGACTGAAAATACTAGTAAGTCTAGCTTGCAAAGGAAATGCAGTCTTGCGCTGTGTACATCATGGTTAGTGCTTGCCGGTTCCTTGCATACTCGTGCTTATTACTCTTGACGGTCTTGACGGTAACCTCAAAGCCACGGTTGAGGCCCAAGAAAGGGAATGTGTAGGTTTTTGCTGATAGAAGTTCTCAAGCCAGGGTGCAGGGAATCCTGTGTGCAAGGATACAAGACTTGTGTTCTCTGAGAACATAATGCTGTGTGTTGTGTTGTTTTGCAACTATATATAAAGGAGTAATTATATCCTTTTGCCCTAAGAAACTCTGAATTAACCCTAAACTACGTTATAATTGTTTCCCTGGAATAGATTCATGACTGCATTGTTCAAATTGAAGGTTACTGGAATGAAGCTGTTCTTGAATCTATGCAATGTTTGAAAAGTTGGGAAAGCAAAGTATATGTTAATCATTATAACTTTGATTTAGGGTGTAGCATTGAAACCACCCTCTGCAAAGCTGTCACCATCTTCAGGGGAAATTCACGGTATGATTAGTTTCTGAGGACTCAAAACTTAAGTGAGAGTTTGGTGTTAGACCCCTTTTCTAAAAGTATAGGTGGAAGCTTAGCACTGCATAATCAATTCTTTATTTAAATGTTGTACAGAAATGAATGTAAAAGTCTCAAACTTTTTTTAGTAGAAAGTTCTATTTTTTTTAAGTATTCCAAGAAGGTATAAGCATAGTAATGTTAACTTAGTATTTCTCACAACAGAAGATTAAACAACTCGGTATAAAAAGTTAAGTAAAACAGGAACTTTCATGAAGGCCAAAAAAATAGTTTATCTTGTTGCATAATGATGTAGCGAGGCACTATTATTACCCATCTTTGATTTTTTTTTTATAAACCAATTGGCTGAAGCACTAAAAAAAAAAAAGAATTTTCAAACTATTTATTACTATTGAACTCTGAACTGTATGCACCAAATACAAGAAAAGCCAGCATATACATGAATGATTTTTACAAGCTCTTAGGGGACAGGAGAAAATGATAGTATGCATTTCATAACCTTTCTGAAACTAACTTTTAACTACAGAAATGAACATAAGTTTACAGTGCACAAAGTCACATTTCCGGTTACAGAGTCAGTGGTGTATGGATAGTGAAAAAACATATCCAGGCTTTTCCACCTAAAACAGATATAAATAAGGGGACATATAAAAGTAAAAACTAATTTATATGCTTGAGGGAAAAAAAGTCAAGACTTCTATTCATTGCTTTAGAAATTATGTGTAGAGAAAATAATTTTAAATGAAGCAAATACTGTATTTTATATTTTAAACCATTAAAATAGGATGACATCTGAAGACCCCATCCAAATCTCAGATTAAATGATTCTATGAACTAAATAAATACAGAAAGGTGAGGACAGATGAAGAGAGTGAAAAAAGGGAAAAGTAAAAAGGAGCTATAAAGAAACACCCTTCCACAGACACATGAACTAACAGAGCGCAGACAGGCACCCGGAAGGGGAAAACACACTTAGTCAGATCTTGGCTTCCCCTATGTGGAAGGCTCCCTCCCCAGAATTGTTCCGTAATGTTTTCTAGTATTTGTGTCTGAACGTCTGCTAGCCTCTTAGTGTACTTCTAAAGACTTTTTAAGTTTTGATGTTTTCCTAACTAGACTGAATTGATTTGAGAATCAGTTGTCACATCCTTCTTCATTGCTTGAGTTGAATTAAAATTTTGGTTAACAAAAAACTTCCAATTTTATACTTCCTCTTCTGAATCTTGATCATACATTTCCTGAGGCTGTCTCTTAATATTGATTACCAAATCAATGGTTAAAATTTTTGTTAAACACTGAAGAACTGAAGTTAGTAACTGGTATTTACCAGCTACTGATTCCAAACCTGTCTGACTGCTCACCATGGGTTGACTGGTTTGCAGTGCATGGAGCGTTCTTACATATATTTGTGGAAAGCTATACTTTCCCTTCTTAGACTTATACAGGATTTTGGGAACGCCTAAAAGAGCATTAGCTATTATCATGCTAACTATGGTTTCTTCTGATTGCTGACATTTTCTGGCATGGTTAAGAAGATAGTAATGTAACAGGATCTCAAAATTACCACCCACTGGCAAAACACAACCTGCTGGTAGAGTGGAGCAGCAGTAACTCTGGGAAGTACACATCTCCAGGGACTTCTCTCTCACTGGCAACATGCTTCCCTTTCTAGCCATTTTTGTGACTTGTAAATTTTCATAAGAAATTTCTATTCCAGTGTTTTCTGCTATTGAATTAGCAGAATTACTCTCTATAAATGGTTCACTGTCATCAATTATCCTGGTTTTGGTTGGAGGTAAACATCTCAGTGTTTCATCTGTCTGGTATGTATCTGTTGGTGTCACTTTTGGTGTTGAATATGGAATACAGGTTTCTAATTCTACATTTGGAACTACCAAATTTGAATACACTTTTAAATATGTTTGAGTTTTTGCCAGTTTACCTTTGTTCTTTACAACTGTGCCCTGATATGGCCTTTGTATTAAGCCACTAACAATTTCTGGCAATGGATTACTTTCTCTGCTAGTCTTGTAAGTAGGAGGACTTGATGTATGATTTTGATCACTGGTTCGTATCATGTAATTTAGATCAAGATCTTTAAATAACTGTCGAAGCATTTTAAATGCTCCATGTAAAGCATCTTCATGTTGTTCAACAAGACCCTGCACTGGTCCACAAAGAACTATACAGTGTGGTATAAATGAACATGTGCTAATCAAGCCAAGATGAACATACCTTTTGGATCTCAAGATAAAGGGCTTACAAAATTTCACCAAAGCAGTGTTACAGATTTCATACTGTGCAGAGGCCTGTGCTAGTACAAAAGGAGAAAGACCGATGATCCTCTGGATAAGAGAAACTTCTTCAGGTGATAAACACTCTACCACTGATATGCCATTCAGTCCTGCATAATAAATAACTAAGTCCGGTTGTTTCACACTAGACAGGAGCAATTTTACATTCTGACTCTGTAAATGTTTCATTATTGCTTTTGTCTTTTCCATAATCCAAAACTGAGAGGTGTGAAACTGTGCTTCTGAATTTAGAATAAACTCTGATCCAGAAGTTGAAAAAAGAGGCTGAATGGTTTCTGTTACTATCACTATTCTTATGTCACCATCTGCTGGACAGTATACAGAAAAGTCTCTGTGAAGCACAAGCCCAGCTACGATCCTGGAATCTGAGACAGGAAGGCCAGTGACACCAACATTCAACTCTACAAAATAGTCATCCACTAAGTCAAATACTTCTTCAAACCCACTTTCACAAGCCATACTCTTGAAAAAGTAGTTACACGTCAGTTGTGAAATAAAGCTGTGATTATTTCTCCCCACTCTTCCACAAAAGTATGCTTCTAAGAGCAGCTCTAAAGAGCTCCTGCACAGTGTTCTCTCTTTAGTGGATGAAGAAAAGACGGACAAAAAGTGTTTACTTAAGTAGTGGTCCATAATATAATCTAATATTTGTGTCTGAAACGTTAGAAGAGCTTGAGAAATAAATTTCCACTGACAACAATTTTTCCAATGCCTTCTATGGGTTTGAATATTTTTGGAAATCAAAGAATCCTGTTCTTTGTCTGTGATTGTATGAAGTCCTCTGAGTAAATGACAAAGAAAGATAATAAACGTTTTAGCACCATCTCCTGTTTTTCTTAGATGACTGGAAACACACGCCACCACCATCCTGTACAAAAAAAGAAATAAAGCAACTCAGATTTTCAGAAGACTGCCTTCACACATGTAAATCAAGTTGAAACCATGGTTTCACAACCAAAGTCATAAAAGACTTTTATGACTGATGTTTTTAGTTTTAGTTTTTACAAAGTTTTACTTTGTTTTATTTCAAGATTCTGGGGTTGGGTGGAGCGAGGAGTAGGGAAACAAATGTTCTTGGGTGTTTGGTAAGATTTGATTTCCAAAAGAACATTCCACTGGACGGCGCTCGAATCCTACGCATACTGGTTTCGTCCAAGGTGAGTCTTCCCAGGAGCACAAGGTAAGGGTTCAGGGAGATGGCCCGAGGTGCCCAGCTCTGGGTAGGAGAGTGGGACAATAGTACCTGGCCATGGGACGCTCTAACGAGCTGGAACGTGGGACGCCGGTACCTGGCTATGGGATGCTCTAAGTGCAGCGCCTCCAGGAGGCAGCCTCCATCCCGGCTGATCAGCACCTCCCCGGTGGGCTTCGTACACAGAACTTGCCGCCCCTCGGGCCCCACGCAGCAGCTCACGATGGTCTCCAGCACTTCCGCCACCTGCAACGCCACCTTTGCAGACCCCACGGCAGCCATACCATGTAAAGTTCGAGAGTCTTCCGGCCACGGATGGGCGAGCACCAGCACGGCCAGGAAGGAGTGAGGCGAAGCGGCCGGAAGCGGAAGGGGCGGGGAGGAGGCCGCGCGCCGGAGCAGCGGGGCCTCGTTCCCCGGGCCTCGTTTCCCCAGCGCCCACTAATGGGGTAGTCCGGTACCGTGCCACCTGGGACTGGCGTTCCGGTAGTCCCCGAAGCTGGGAAAGAGGTCAGGACTTCTTAGGATCCGTTCCTGGACCGGAAACTGCCAGCCCTTCCCCAGCTCCCTGGGTGAATTTATTCCCAGCAGTGGCTTCCGCTGCCACCAAATCTGTCGCCCAGAAAACGTCCTTCCTCTAGAGAAGTCCGCACGCTTAGGGAAGCCTATGCGTAGGAGGGAATGGGTCCCGCGGGTGGAACCGGGTTCGTGCCCCACCTCTGACAAAACCTCTGCGTTGGACTCAGGAGTATTCTGTCCACAGTATCATAGGTTGCTCTAACCATCACAAAAACAGCTTCGGGATGCGGGACAGCAGCAAGCTTTATGCTTTCCGCAGAAGACTTCGCCACATTTCCCGGGCACGGATATCACTATGAAACCCCCAGCCACCACAGTTTACATTTTCTTTAGCAGAGGGGACAGATGTGAAAACTTAGCTACACTGGCGATCACTAGTATGCTTTAAAAACAGTGGCCTAAGATTGTTGGATACAAATGCATAAGAAAACAGGCAAAAAAACCATAATGTTTCAAATATTAAAACACATTTTCTCTTAAGGATGAAATGGTTAACAGTACGGCTTAAGATTTAGACCTCGGTTTCCTCTGACACTTGTGACATAAACTCATCTCCACTTTTCTTACCTTAAAAAATGGAGATAATATATAAAGGAAAAATCTCAAGGTTTTGCAGAGTGAGAATGTTTGCAAAGAACTTTTTTTGCATGGTGCCTGGCATATATACTAAGCACTCAACAGTCAAATATTTACAGTACACCCCCCAAATTACTGTGATATTCACTAGTGTATGGACCACTCTCTCTACAAGAAAAGGATTATTTTGTAAAAGTGCAGAAGAGCCAATTAGGATGATAGCACAACACGGGACACCTATGAGAGTGCAGTCAATATTAGTTAAGAAAAGTACTTACCTTGTAGATTTGTCATTGAGGTTCAACAATGAGGGGCTGTTCTCCTTACCTTATTCCTACGCATAGGGCAGGGGAAACCTGTAAGCCCTCCTTTCCCTCCCTCCACCCTGCCCCACCCAATTAATAAGACAGAACCAACAGACTATTAGGCAGAAGCAAGTAGACACTGAGGACAGAGCAAGAATGGAAGAGGAGGAGGATGAAGGAAAAGAAAACCAGACAGGAATGATTTGAAACTCACCTGATGTTGACTCAGTATGGACTAAGTGATTTGAGAGGAAAATCTTTTTATATAGGTTCTGTATATATAATTGTTTAATAATAAGTTTTTTTCTGGTTCTACCCATCACAAAACAGTGGTGGATATAGCTATGGTATACCAATTGGAGCAGTGGATTACTCCAAACTTTTAAAAAGTAAAGTGCTACCATCAGGGTTTACCATTTAAGTGTACCGTGGAAGGAGAATCGACATGGAAGTCAGACATGGATTTAAACTTTTGCTTGCCATCACTCTTACTGCATAGCTTCTGGAATCATTTAACTTCTCTAAGTCTCAGATTCTTTATTTATAAAGGTGGGTTAACTTCCACTTACCGTAAGGTTATGATGAGTACTTAAGAAGAATGAATATAAAGCACCAAGGAAAGCATACATTAGGGTTTCTAACTATTAAATCCTTCCCAGCCCTTCACCATCCTTCACAACTACCCCTACAAAAAAGATTTTTTTTTTTAATTTAAACACTAGGATGAAGTTAGTCACATGTTATATTCAAAGTCATTTGATCAGTTTGCTCTTTTTAAGAATTTTATTCAGAATGCCTACCTGTAGAAGTTAGCATAATTTTACAGATTAGAAAAATTCGATTCTTTTGTCTCTGCAAACATTTATAGTAGGTTACGAATAACAGATTAGAAATGTAATACATTACAAAACAGTTGCCTATGACTAGATATCTGTACATCTACTATGCACCTTAGAGAAAGGATTTGACAGTGTGCTGTACTTACACTGCAGATAACATACTTTTATTCTATTATACAAAACTGACCAGTGGTAGTGTTTGAATTTATAAATGGCCATTCAACAGGATATTTAACTTAGACGTATATTTAGCATGCTAAAAAGTGAAAAAATTTTCAACTGAAGTTCTGTGGCTCAAATGTTTCACGGCATATTTTTAAATAAATTTCATTATTGTAATACTAAAATAATTTTACATGAAAAATGCAAAAAGATAAAATTTTCTAAACATTTTAGAAAGTATATTCACATTCATTTTGTCATGGGTTTCTTGTGTTTCTTCTAAATATGTTAATCATATTAAAGAGACACTGGTCCTATACAATTTTAACAGTCCATCTTCAATTAAAAACTGTAACAAAACAAACAGTATGTTAAAGAGTAACAAAACCTAACTTAAATATACCAAATTCACACACTGTATGTAAACAAAATGAAACCAAATTACATAATAGTGGCAGGTTATACATTTTAAAGAATTTCTTTTTCCATGTAGTCAAATGAGATAGAAGTTAAAATGTAAACTTAGTGATTTGTATGGTGTTACCCCTTATTGGTTCAAATTGGAAAATTTGGTATAAATGCTAATATTAGTATTTTATTTCTGTACATTTAACATAATTCAAAATAATCTACAGCATCATGTATGGCTCATCGATATTGCCATCATCACTGTGTATCAACCAAAAAAACCCAAAAATATATTCATTACTCATTAGAAATGCTAAACACTGGAAAAAATGAAATTTTATACATTTGTTTTCTTAAATATTTGACTAAGATATTCTTCAAAAAGTTAAAACTGCCTTCTACAGAATTTTATGTGTAAATGGCACAAGTTGACACCCAAAACAGTGTGAATTCCATCAAAAAGGCACTGTTTACAATACTCAGAATAATCTGACGAGTCTACTTCAATGATGTCTGAGAGTGAATATATTTGAAATAGTTAAATAGACAAACCCTTATAAAAGTACAGCATTACTGTTTAAATATGCTATAGCTATATAAAAGGAAATAAAATGACATAGAGAAAAGACCCTTTATGACAAGCCTATAAACACTTTGAATCATATTGGAGAGTCCTGTAACACAAAAATAACAAAAAGTATTTTCTTAAAGGCACAAAAGCATGAATACTAAATGAGTGTTGTATTTTACAAGGCCAACTTTTTCAATGGAATGGTAACAAAGATTACACTGTACCTTTATAACTGATACAAAAGAGTACTAACATGAAATACAAGTAAAATATCTATTGCTGAAACTTACTTGTTTCACATGCCCTATTTATTATCTATTCCTGGGCCAGCTACATCTCACTAAATGGTGGATAATTGAAGGCATAGTACATTTAATAACTAAAACAAATGCACATGTCAATAATTATTACTCATCTAAAGTTTTGTGTGAAAAAATAAAATTTTTGATCAAATGAAAAAAAGTGGTCATAAGATCTTAAATCCTAGAAACTATCATGAGGTTCTCAGACAACTGGGAACTGTAATCACAATTTTTATGAATCCATGTCTGAAGGAATATTAATCTCAGGTAGAGAACATTCAAAGTCAATTACATATATGGCTACATACAACGTTAATTATGTGTTTTAAAGGATTCACATACTAAGCCTAGTATAAACACTGATCTAAAACTAAGCCATCAATTCCTGAGTTTTGTGTTCAGTTCACAGGAAGGAACTCATACAACTAAAAGCATAAGAAGACTATCAGATTAGATATATGCTTTCAGTGTATAAGAAACAGTCATGAGTAACCCTGCTCTTTTTCATGAACTAGTTTTTAACTCGAGTAAAGAACGCAAAACATCTGCCTTAAAAAAAAGAAAATATTACCTTTCCAGTCTTGGAAGATACCTATACAAATAAAACACTATTTAGACCAAATGAAAATAACACACAAGTGGGTAAGACTAAAACCCCAAATGGGGTTTTACCAACAAAAAATTTTAAGTTTTCAGGGTTTAATGATGAAATGATTTTTGTGATCAGCCAATTTATATGATATAAATACTAATTTAAACCATAAAGAGGATCAAATTGTACAATATTTACAAAGTATCATCTATCAATGAATAGGCAGTTGAGCATAAAGCATTGGTAACAAAGTGAGGACAAAAATTATATTGACAAGTATGAAATACAAACAAACAGATCCCACCTGTTCTGTGTAGTCATTATTACACCTACATTTACACCAGGTATAGGTACATCTTACTTATATTTCAGTCAATAAAAAAATGTTTGCACATGTACATATGGAATACAGCATTATTTTGCCAAAACCACATGGGAAATGGCTCTTCTTAAAACGTAAGGCTACTTAAGATAGCTATATTAGGGGGAAAAAAAGCAGGCTCTTTTTCATCACTTTCAATTTTTGTAATTTAGCAATCATTCCTTGATTTGATATTTATCATGGCATAAACAACTGATTGTAACCTTGCTGGTATCTCACAGTCTCTTCTTAATCAAAGGCAAATGTAGCCAGAATAGTTATTCTGACTTTTATTTTCATTAATAGCCATTTTGAAATCTACACTTTCAGGATTCTGAGATATATCTTAGGACAACAGCTTAACTACATTTGCAAAAATTGCTTTGAGGATTGTAAATATTTATGACAAAAAGTAAAAATATTAACCCCCCAAAAAATTAGGAAAAAGTTTGCCTGAGCCTGAACAAAAAAAATCTTGACAAATTATGATTTTATCACAGAATGAAGTTGCTCAGAACAGAGGAGAATAAGGAATTGAACTTCAGAACTTGATTCTCTTCTCAAATGCTCAACTTATTGCACATTTTAAAGAAACCAATTTTAATGTACACATAAATGCTACCAAAGTATCTTTTCTTATCACCTTTCTCTTATTTGGCTTTTGAAATAAAATATTGGTTATAAT